AGGAAACGAGGCATCAGCGTCACAGCATCTGCATCAGCCTGCATGCATATTCACTGCTGACCTGTTTCTACATACACTGTATTTATAATAGCATTGTTTCCACGTGCATTCAAGTAGAACGTCACTGTGATTCAAACTGCTTACATACAAAGTCTGATACAGGAACAATCATGGGAGGAGGAAGAAAAACTTCTTTATGTTTGTATATGCAATGAAAAAGTTTAGCAGTGACAAACACATTTCCTTTATATAATTTGGGCACCATGTGAATGTGTGTGTGTGTGTGTGTGTGTGTGTGTGTGAGAGAGAGAGAGAGAGAGAGAGAGAGAGAGAGAGAGAGAGAGAGTGTGTTGGTGCTGCAGTGAATGTTTTAATTATGTTTTTTCACACACTGGTGAGTGTTGACCTCGGTGAGACTCCACAAAACAAGACGAAATCTGCTAAAGGAAACATCTCTGTTACACACACTCATGTCTTTGCTTGTTTAAACACAAACAAATGAATTTTCGTTCTGTGAGAGACCCTTATAACACTTGTGTAAGTCAGCTATTAAAATATGATAAGCCTAATATTGTGTAGGCCTATAAACTGTAGGAATGATGTAAAAGGCAACACTTGAGACACATATTTTTTTCCATTATAGAAGCCAAAATCTAAATCAAAATGTATTAAAATCATGTGAACTGACGTGTTTTTAATTATAGAACCATGACACTTTCTGATCATCATATCACTCTCAGAAAAAAAAAAGGCACAAAAGCTGTCACTGGGTTTTTCAAAAGGTACATTTGTGACCCTGGACCACAAAACCAATCATAAGGGTCAATTTTTTTAAATTGAGATTTATACATCATCTGAAAGCTGAATAAATAAGCTTTCCATTGATGTATGGTTTGTTAGGATAGAAACCTAGGATAGCTTTTGTACCTTTATTTCTGAGAGTGCACTGACTGAACGGTGATTCATGAAACACAGATATCTGGACGTTCATTGCGGATTTGTGTGTCAGTTCAGTGCGTTTTCTGTACACTGGTTTAAACTCTTTGTTTCCCATATTTATTTGCATTCGCCAAAAATTCTCAGCATATTATGATAATGAGGTAATGTATGAATTATGTGAGGCAAAACAATAAAATGACGATTTTATATCACCCAGACTAATTATATAATCTGCCAGCGTAGAGCTGTATCTATGAAAATGCATGTTTGAAACAAGCATCAGCATGCAAACTTCTGTAAGGAGTGAGAGGGTCTAATGAGTTGTTATGTGTGTGTTGCTGGGCAGCCTGAGCTCAGATTGTGCTGTAAATCAGTGTGTGGTCACTCTCTCTGCCTGACCTGTGTGCTCAGACCAGATCACACTCCAGTGAGATCACACACATGTTTCCATGCCAACACCATTATTGTTAATGCTAGGCATAAAGATAACTGCTCCCCAAACATAGTGAACTATTCAGTGATTGTTATTCTTGCTTCATTACATAACTTAAACGTCATTGTGAAACGTTCCTCTATCATTTTCTCTCCCAGCTTTCTCTGCTGGCCGTTGACTGTCTGTCTGTGTGTTTCTTCAGCTCTCACCTCACCGTGTCCTACAGGATGAAGTTCATCAGAAGCTTCTGAAGCAAAGCCATCTTCTCTCGCTCATTAGCATCCAAAAGGTCTGACGTCTATTGCGTGGAGGGGGGCGAGAGAGAGAGGGAGAGGGGAACAATTACTGTCCCTCCAGTCACACACACACACACACACACACACACACACACACACACACACACACTGTCCTGCACTGCCAGAGGACCTCACTTACAATACAGTCACTACTGTGCTACTGAAACCAAACCAAACTAGTTTCTAACTGACTGTAATACACTTATAAGGTAAATAAACCAACCAGGATTTATTTTATTTTGACATTTTCATTTTATTGATGCTTGTATGCGCTCATGTCAGTTGCAGTTATACTTATAAACTGAAATTATAACTAAAATCATAAAAACCCATTTTCGTTAGGCTACATGAAATAAAATAAATGTTAACTGGAATAGAATAAAATAAAATTAACTTTTTATTTAAGCTAAGAGCATTTCGCATTTTAATTTAGTTTCACTTGATGCACTAAAATAACAAAAATTAAAATTAAAATTAATAAAAACTCTGTAGACATATCTAAAATAATCCAAAATTACTAAACATGACAACTAAAACTAACATGAAAATGCAAAAAATATCATATTAAATTATTTTTATATTTAATAAAAATGATAATGATACTAAAATAACATTGAATTAAATTTAACATGGTTTATGCAATTACTGTCATGTCAAGAATATAGCTCAAAAAATAAAAAAAATTTTTTTTTTAAAGTAATTTACTGTATAATAATCATGAGAGAAATGAAATGGTTAATAATTATAAAATTCAGGCTAACATATGATTAAGTAACATACATAATCAAAATAATAATCAACTAACCATCCAACTAACTAACTAACAGTCAATTTTGGAGCTATCAAATTATTAAAAAAAAAAAATTATTTACATGATGGACAGATACAAAAAAAGTGACAAAATTAGTAAAAACAAAAAAAAGTAAAAAGTAGTGTTTACTGTATTATATTAACTGTATGTAAAATTGTATGTATATAGTGTATAAAATGTAAACTAATAAATCAAAAGCGTGGAATTTATTTAAAAATAAATTAATACTTTATTAAACTGAATCAAAAAGTGACAGTAAAGGCATTTATAATATTTTCTAATTTTTATAAAGATTTCTCATTCAAATAATTGTGTGTGTGTGTGTGTGTGTCTTGTCTCTTTTATTTTCCAGGCACTGACTCATCCGCCTGCCCTGTTTACTGATTTAGGCCGGAGAGGAGAAGTGTGGAAAATATGCATCTTCTCTTATAAGTGTCCTTTTGTGGAGCACCAGGCCTCTGTAATATTTCTCACTGAGGTGAGAGGCTCCTTATGCCAGAGAGAGACAACATCTCTTAACCCCTCCAGCACTGAACACACACACACACACACACACACTCAGTCAGCACACATGCAAAACACAGAAAAAATAACAAACACAACATCTAAATGAACTATTCAGGTGTACTCTATTCAAATCAAATAATAAACTGCTTTACATCAATGAAAGGAGTTGTTAAGGGTCAGATCAGATACATTCACTTAATATTGCGTGTTTCTTTTCAGCTGAAAGAAGAAATCCAGTTTAAATCTGCAATATGTTTAACAAAATGTTAGCTTTTACTTCAAAATGAGTTCATAATATCTCAGTCTGTAATTCTAAGACCAAACATATTAGTCATGGGTTGTGAATATCAGAGGCTGAGCGAGCTGGTCATTTTCTCACTTGTATCAGAGGAAACTAAGTATTGTGTGTGTGTGTGTGTGTGTGTGTGTGTGTGTGTGTGACAGAAGCTCAGGAGTGTGAGTTGATGTGTCTGATGACAGGCTGTTTGTTGCTCTGTAAATCAGCTGAATCTGAGAAGAAAGGTGTGAGGGCCCTTCACATTTACGGCCCCTGAGAAGTGCAGACTATATCAGCATCCTCTATCATCAACTCCAAGTGCAGCAGAAAGATTCACAGAGCCCTCGTAAAACGTACATCAGTGTTCACCATACTGGATCAAATATGAATCAAATAAAAACAAAAAACTGTAAAATGTCAGATAGTACAAGCAAGGTGGTGTTTAAAACTCTTGATCTTAAGTAACCACCACAGTTTTCCCTAAAAATGTGGTGAATAAAGATTTGTGCAAGATTTGTATTTGAATTTTAGATGCCTTTTTTATTGCAGTTCACTGTAATACCCTTGTGGCATTGCATATAATTATTTTTTCCATATAGAATATTCCATAATATTCCACGTCGTATAAACATAATATCAGGTAACCTAATATAAACCATACGACATTTATTGACTGTGATATTCAACACTTTAAAATCAAATCGGCACGAAGAAAACAATTATAATAATTAAATATCAAAAATAAAAATTAAAAATTAAAAAGCAACAACAGGCCTATTTCTACAATTATGTTTACAATAAAAAAAATAAGATAAGAAGTAGAATATTTAAGTTGTAAATAAATATGTCTGTTTATTATTTAAAACACTGAGTTCCAAGCTGTAGCCTATATTTAGGCTGCGCGGGTTAAAAAGCACAATTTAAATATCTCCGATCTCTCCTCTGGCTGGACCGAGTCATGCTGGATTAAGCAAATTCACACATCTCGCCTTCAGGCCATCCACACTTCAGTCGAGCTCTGGCGCAGGACGCGTCAATGGCCGCATCCTAATGGACCGTCCCAGTAAACACCAGCTTTCTCACATGTGTATCTGGGACAAACAAAAGATTAGCATTATTCGCAAATATACAACTGAGTTCAAAGGCAGCGCGGAGCAGACACTGTCTCTCTCCCTTCTTTTGTTTCAAAGACGGGCTCCCGAATCGGAAAACAAGTCTGGATTAGGCTACTATCCTGCCAGGCATATCCAAAGCCCACGCTCGTGGAAAATATGAAATCATGATCATAATAACGCAAATATGTAAAAAATATAAGAAATGTATTTGAACTAGCCTATTCCCAATAAATGAGAACTATTTCTACGAAAATTTCAAAAACAGCAAATTAATGAATTATTAGGCTACAGTTGTGCTTATACTTTGTTCATAATGTAATTTTCCTCTTTTTGCTTAATTATTTGCCTGCATCTTACACGTTTTCATTGACTATAGACTTTCAAACACTTCAACACTTTGTAATGGGCCTCTATGTAAGTCAAAAATACTTTCCGTTTTGTGGCGACAAATTATCGGGCGCTATTAGGGCGCGATGGGCCTGGTCTCGCCTCCGGGTCACGCCCCGTAACAGCAGGAGCTCAGTATCGGGCCTTTAAAAAGGCTCCGGGCGCGTTAAAAAAGCGCAGATTGAGACGCGCTGTCAAAGCATCGCAACCCCACGGGATTTAGTGCTTTCGGACGTATCTCAACTGATCGGAAATATGTCTTCCTCAAGTCCCGACCAGCGCCTGGAGCACCTCCTGAGCGCCGTGAAGAGCGAGTTTCAGGAGGGCAGCGAGAAAGGCGACGCGTTCGAGCGGGATATTAAACTTTCCCTAGAAGACGCGGAGTTATGGAGCAAATTTAAAGAGCTCACTAATGAAATGATAGTCACTAAAACTGGAAGGTAAATTGAGATTTGACGACAGATGCACTAAAACACTTCCTTTTAATTAAAGAAAATATTTTAGCTTTTTTTTTTTTTTTTTTTTTGCATTTGTAATGTTCCTAATCTAACATAAAAAAAAATCATGAAGAGAGTCAGTGAAATTCCGATAGACTTTAGTCAGTCATCGCTAAGTCGCTGTGGATGCGATCATTTATTAGCGATCTAGTTTTGTCGCGTCGATAATTATTTCCGTCGAGTTCATGCATGTGAATTCTGTTAAAATGTCTTTGACTAATCTTTGTCTCCTCTTCTAGGCGAATGTTTCCCGTGCTCAAAGCCAGTGTCACCGGTCTGGACCCCAACGCAATGTACTCGGTCCTGCTGGACTTTGTAGCGGCCGATAATAATCGGTGGAAATATGTGAACGGTGAATGGGTGCCGGGCGGGAAACCCGAGCCTCAGAGCCCGAGCTGCGTCTACATCCATCCAGACTCCCCCAACTTCGGCGCGCACTGGATGAAAGCGCCCATCTCCTTCAGCAAAGTCAAACTCTCCAATAAACTCAATGGAGGCGGTCAGGTAATGAAACTCTTTAGTTCTCAACCATGAAATAAATCATTAAAAACGTATACAGTTTGTGTTAGTAGTTTGATTTAATTATTTTAAATATTACATTTATATTCCGTAGATAGCTTATGAAATGTTTTATTTATTTTTTCTTCTTTTTTAGATTATGTTGAACTCTTTGCACAAATACGAGCCCAGGATTCACATAGTGAAAGTCGGTGGGATCCAGAAAATGATCAGCAGTCAGTCTTTTCCTGACACTCAGTTCATTGCAGTCACAGCTTATCAGAATGAAGAGGTGAGTGTTTGTTGAATAAAGCCTGAGATGCATCCTCAGCCTTTTAAAATGTTGCATGAAGAACATTTTCCTCTTATTAATTTTCAGGTCACAGCTCTGAAGATCAAGCACAACCCATTCGCCAAAGCATTCCTGGACGCCAAAGAAAGGTACAATAAAAAATACAATCACTAGACATAATTTCTCTGTAAAAGCCATTCAGTTAGATTTTATTATGTACTTATTAACATTATTGCAACTGGACATTATCTGCTGTCACGTCAACAGAAGTGATCACAAGGATGTCCCAGACCACAGCACTGACAACCAGCAATCTGGATACTCGCAACGTAAGTAAACTTCACGAACAACTAAAACATTGTTTTACAGCACATTTAACACGCATGTCTTCCTCCAACAGTTGGTGGCTGGTTCCTGCCCAGTAACGGCCCTATGGGCCCCAGCAGCAGCCCTCCTCAGTTCAACGGGGCCCCCGTTCACTCCTCTGGCTCGTACTGCGAGAGATACTCCAGCCTGAGGAACCACAGAGCTGCTCCGTATCCCAGCCATTACCCCCACCGCAGCACGACCAGCAGTAAGAGCAAATGAACTCTGATACATGTGCCAGTCCATTATACACCCCTAAAAATAAAGCTTCTTTATCGGCATCGATAGTTCCATGAAGAACCTCAAACATCCATGGAATCTTTCCATTCCACAAAAGGTTCTTTGGATTTTTAGAGTGTTCTTCACACTGAGAAAAATCATTCTTTTCAGAACAGTCACTGAAAGGTTCATTGAGGACCCAAAATGGTTCAAAATCACTGTGAAAACCCCCTTTTTGAACCTGATTTCTAAGAGTGTAGTTTTGGACCAGAATGGTTTTTATTGTATATGTTGATCCATTGCTTTCCATTGATCTAGTTCTTGTGTTTTCTTGTAGATAACTACATGGACAACTCTTCCGGAAGTCTTGCTTCTCACGACAGCTGGTCGGCCCTGCAGATACCCAACTCCAGTGGCATGGGCACCCTGGCCCACACCACCAACACTACCTCCAACACCAGGTCAGTGCTTCATACATCTAAACAAAGACATGTTTAATAGTGGATTCACTGGCTAACCGGGCGGTTTCTGCGTTCCAGCCAGTACCCAAGCTTGTGGTCGGTCGCGGGGACGAGCCTCACCCCCTCAGGCTCAGCATCAGGGTCCATCACGGGCGGCCTGACGTCTCAGTTCCTGCGCGGTTCCTCGGTGTCCTACTCGGGGCTGACCTCCTCTCTGCCCGTGTCCTCTCCCTCCTCGATGTATGACCCGGGCCTGAGCGAGGTCGGCGTTGGAGACGTTCAGTTTGAGAGCTCCATCGCCAGGCTTACAGCGTCCTGGGCGCCTGTGGCACAGAGCTACTGAGATCCATCTGACTCCAGACTGTGACTTTCAGGACTCGATCTGAGGTGAAGATCCTACAGAGGCTGGTCAGACAGCAGATGTCTACGTCTAGAGGGAATGTAGAAGAGCCTCTCGCCATTTCGAATGGAAACGGGCTGATTTTCTTAATCCACGTCTGTATGGTATCGCGGCATGAATTAATGCAATCAAGACCTGGCGAGAGACAATCACTTAATCATAGAGTATCTATATTTGCAAAAACCGTCATTCGAATTTTAGACGTTAGTCATAAAAATGGGGCCAATCGTGGTGTTTATTGTTCTCAATAATATTATCTAAAAGATTAATAAGACCAAATCGTGCTGTTGACTAACTAAAATGTATATGTGTGTAAATAAATAGAAATTAATGCCCATTTTCATGGTATTACAGTAACAGTAACAGTGCTTTCTGTAGAACGGGAGAAAGACGGACTTTGCTGTTTAGTTTGAAAAGTGACCCTGTAGTTTTGTCTGCAATCCGTCCTATAGAGAAATCATTTGTACATATCTATCTATTTGTATTTGTTGGACACTCGGTGAGTTTTATTTGTCATTTTAATAATAAATTAAAGTTTTTTTTCTGTCAAACTTTTGTCAGTAGTGTTTACTTCCCTTGCATTTTTCTTAAATGCTTATCATATTATTTACATTTGGTTTGTTCAAATGACTTTGTATGCAAATCTTGAAAGAATAACAACAACAAATTAGCACAATTATAATGACCAGAATATCAGTCATTTTAAGAAGATGCATGTGAATAAAACATAATTAACAGTTCACTGAAGTTCTTCTATAAACAACCCAAATGAATAAAATTATTACAATTCTTAATTATTAAAATCTAACAGAAAAACAGGAGAATTTGTTTGAATAAAAATGACTTAACTGTTAATTGCTTTCAATTGTTATTTCCTATGAAACATTTCAGTATTAATAGCAGGTTTTAAATATTTGCTTGTTCAAAATACATTTTAGAATTTATTCTGTCTAAATTAGGTATTATATGTTAACAGTCTGATAACATACAAGCTTTTTCAGGTCTTTCTTTACAAAAATATGTTCAGCCACTTCAGTTCTTCTTAAAGTTCTATTACTTCATGTTTATAGTTACACATCTTGATGAAATATTAATTTGAGTGGTGCATAATCAGTCGTGCGGCTTCAGTAAATCGGACAGCAGGTGGAAGATGATCATGAATCCAGATAAAGCGTGTGAGTTGGGTGAATGCTGTAATAGAGAGATAGAGATTCACAGCATGTGATGAGCTTCAGTCTCTCACAGCGCTTCGTTACAGTCTGCAGATCTGTGTGACATGGTCAACACATCTCAAAAAAAAAATCAATAAAAAAATTGCAACTGATCCCAACACCAGTGAGAAAACTGAAATGACAAAGCTTAAAAAATAATGTAATATTCTAAATAGGAAGTGCTACATTCACAAACATAATGTTGCACACTTTGTTAGAGATTAATTTCTTTTTTAACACATTTGTGTAATACGTCTTTTATGTATATTGTTGGAGGTCTCTGAGATTTTAATCCAGGGACTAATAATAATAATAGTAATAGTACTTATTATTATTATTATTATTAAAACTAAATTATACTACTACTACTAATAATAAAAAAAAAATCTATACTAATATATTTGTGTGTGTACTGTATTGTTACAAAAGTTTTCTATTTTGAATAAATGCTGTTCTTTTTAACTTTTTATTCATCAAAAAATATCACAGGTTCCAAAAATATATATATATATATGAAGCAGCAACTTTTTCCAATATTGATAATAAATCAGCATATTATACTGATTTCTGAAGGATCATGTGACACTGAAGACTGGAGTAATGATGCTGAAAATTCAGCTTTGATCACAGGAATAAATTACATTTTACAATATATTCAAACAGAAAATAGTTATTTGAAATTGTAATAATATTTCACAATAGTACTGTTTTTACTGTATTTTTGTACAAATAATTGCAGCTTTGGTAAGCAGAAAAGTCTTATACTATTACATTAAAAAAGTATAACGACCCCAATCTTTTGAAGAATGGTTTATCTCTGTGGGGAATTATGATGTCTAATGTTCAGCAGAAACCTTTTCAAATGCAATGATTTTTAAAAACAGTTCCTGCAAATCAATATGAACACGTTTACTGTAGAAATGTCAGAATGCTATTACATTATATTAAAACAAAGTATCAAACCAATATCACCTGCTCTTTAGTGCTGCTGGCATCTCATAACTAAGATTACCTTCTCAATGCGTTTTTGCGATAAGTATTGATCGACACTGTTTTGGGGATTTTTGCTGGATGTATAAAGTCAGTTCTCCTCATATTCACACAGGAGTCCTATAGAGCAACTACAGGTTTAGAGAATCACATTAACTATCAGCATCATCCACTAATATTGGAAAAAGTGTCCAAATGTTTTTCTTCTTCTTTTTGAAAAGTGTGAGTTTCTTTAAATGCCACCTGCCCTGATCACTGTTGAGTCTCAGAGTATTTCTATGTGATTTAACTCTTTGTGTGTGAGGGGGATCTGCACATTCATAACAAGCTAAACACACACACACTCGCTCGCTCGCTCGCTCGCTCGCTCACTCACTCACTCACTCACTCAGAGACACACTCTCTCACACACACACACACACACTCACTCACTCACTCACTCACTCAC